AAGAGACTTAAAGTTTTTTATATTATTTTAATCTGCAATTCTGATTTTAATCTGTATCCTGATTGATCAAAACTATGTCTTTCTTATGATTATTATTATATCATATACTTATATAATAATAAGTACCAGGTATATAAATATAAAACCGGAATTTTTGTATAGAAAATATATGTTTATTGTATGAAAATGATAAAAAATATTTTATTCGAAGTATTGCCCATCGCTAGCTATACATTTTTCCCAGAGTTGGAAAGTAACGCGTTACTTGTAACGACGTTACTATTTAGTTACTTTTTTTTTATAACGATTTGGTAACGCCGTTACTTTTTTGTATCAGCAACGAAAAAATAACGGCGTTACATTTTCTTTAGTAACGAGTAACGAAATTTATCGTTACTTGTATCGTTACTTTTTTACTATGTGGCTTCTGTATACAGAACGTGGCAACGCTTGCCACGCGACGAAAGTTTGCACACGATAAACAATTGATGTGCTGGTTTTCGTAAAGCCCATTCTACAATAAGCAATAAATTTTAAGTTATAATTAAATTGACCAATCATAGTCGACTATTAGAAGAATAATCCACTGTAATTGGTCAATTTTATTGCGACTTAAAACTTTTATTGCTTATTGTAGAAAGCCTCTAAAGCGTGGTCTACAATGAGAACTTAAGCCATAAAATTTAAGCTTTAAACTCTAAGCCGTAAGAAATTGATCAGTCACAGTCATTTATTTTTTTTATAATTGACTGCGATTGGTCAACTTCTTACGGCTTAAGACTTAAAGCTTAAATTTTATGGCTTAAGTTCTCATTGTAGACCACGCTTAAGGGGCGCCGCATACAAATTGACGTAACAGTAACATACCGTAAGAACTGACCAATCACTTTAAGTATCGTCGAACCGTAAGGTCACCATTTTGATGAATACTCGATTGTAATTGGTCCATTTTTACAGTACGTCTTACGTTATTGTTATGTCAACTCGTGTGCGGCGCCTCTAAAGCCATTTTACATTAGTCGCAATCGCAAGATCGCAAGGAAATTGACCAATCATAATTGATTATTCTTCGATCGCAAGAAGATCAGTCGACTATGATTAGTCAATTTCTTTGCGACTTTGCGATTTGCGACTAATGTAGAATGGGCTTTATGTTGTTATGCAAGAATGTGTGCTTCTCGTTTAAATATCTTATATTTTGTCTTTATATATGTACAATTTATATACTGTCTCTCTTACTATTCGTTTTATAAGCCGATTTTAACTTTTTTTTTTAAAAGTAACGGAAAGTAACGATTTTTTATCGTTACTTTTCAAATAACGGTAACGCGTTACTTTTTAGAATCAGTAACGAGTAACGGTAACGACTTACTTTTTACCGCAAGTAACGGTAACGGTAACGCGTTAATTTTAAAAAGTATAATATAAATATAATATGTATAAGATATAATTGACAATTTATAATAACATATATAACGTATAAATTTGAGATTATTCTTGCTTACGAAATTCATGTAGCAAATATAAAGCGTTTAATATTAAAAATATTCTAGCCGTTTTAACTATATTATTATTTGTTTAATATAATTTGTATAATTGTACTAGGTATGTAAATATGAAACCGAAATTTTTGTATAGAAAATACACGTTTATTGTATGAAAATGATAAAAAATATTTTATTCGAAATATTGCCCATCGCTAGCTATATTTTTCCCACCTGTCTGACAATTTGTGGATGCCACGACAAAAAAACTGTTGCTCTTTTGAGGCAAGCCAGTCATCAAGCCATTTTCGTACATTTTCGTAAGAAGTGAAGCGCTGCTTAGCAAGTGCGTGTCCCATTGATGCAAATAAATAGTAATCGGACTTAGCCAAGTCTGGTGAGTAAGCCGCATGCGAAAGTATTTCCCAACTAAACGCCTCAATCGTTTCCTTGACCAGTTTTGCTGTGCGTGATGGTGCATTATCATGAAGCAAAATCACTTTGTGTTGCCTTTTTTTATATTCTGGTCGTTTTTCACGCAAAGCTTGATTTAAATCGATCATTTGTTGTCGGTAGCGTTCAATATTAACGGTTTGGCCAGGTTTTAGCAGCTCATAATAGATCACCACGGTTACGAACGTTACTTTTTAAAAGTAACGCGTTACCGTTACCGTTACTTGCGATAAAAAGTAACTCGTTACCGTTACTCGTTACTGATTCTAAAAAGTAACGCGTTAGCGTTATTTGAAAAGTAACGATAAAAAAATCGTTACTTTCCATTACTTTTGTAAAAAAAAAAGTTAAAATCGGCTTATAAAACGAATAGTAAGAGAAACAGTACATAAATTATAACATATATAACATATATAACATATATAACATATATAACATATATAACATATATAACATATATAACATATATAAAGACAAAATATAAGATATTTAAGCGGAAAGCATACATTCTTGCATAACGACATGAAGCCCATTCTTCATTAGTCGCAAATCGCAACGTCGCAAAGAAATTGACTAATCATAGTCGATTGTTCTTCTTGCGATCGAAGAATAATCAATTACGATTTGTCAATTTCCTTGCGATCTTGCGATTGTGATTAATGTAGAATGGGCTTTAGGGGCGCCGCACACAAATTGACATAACAGTAACGTAAGACGTACCGTAAAAATGGACCAATTACAATCGAGTATTCACAAAAATGGCGATCTTACGGTTCGACGATACTCAAATTGATTTGTAATTCTTACGGTACGTCTTACGTTATATCAATTGTGTGTGCGGCGCCCCTTAAGCGTGGTCTACAATGAGAACTTAAGCCATAAAGTTTAAGCTTTAAGTCCTAAGCCGTAAGAAGTTGATCAATCACAGTCAATTATAAGAAAAATAATTGACTAGTCAATTTCTTACGGCTTAGAGCTTAAAATTTAAATTT